ACTGGATGATCAGATACAGAACCTGCTATGATTTAATTCACCCGCAAGGTCACCTCCCAAAAATACTGTGGAAACTGGAGGTGTCCTGGCCTAATGTCCCCATATATTTGCCTGGGAGGTCAGATACAGACCTCCTGCGGTCCCTTCCCACCTCAGCTACCCCATGATCCTGCCTCAATGAGGACCTCTACCCTGGCACCACTGGCCAGGACCAGCTCACCACAATCACCGGTTCCAAGCTGTAATGGACCCCCACCTGTGGCACCTTCCCCACGGCACACCCCGCTGTCGGTGCAACCAGGAAGACGACCTGGTTTTAATGAGAAAAAAACACAGATAGAAGATGTCTGCTAAAATACTGACTGAAATGGTGTCTGCCAGCCTGGGAACCTGGCCTGGGAACCCAGAACATCCTTGACAGCACGGGTCGGGAGCTTGGGTCCATCGTAGATAAGTGCACAACAAAGACCCTGCTATAACCTGCGGAACAAAGAAACCACTATAACAAACTGAAACCCTAAGCCACCAGAAGTCAGCCAGCAACGGCTGCTTCAGGAGCTGCTGTCCTGCGCCCACTCATGTATCTACACGAAAGACATAAAAATAACTCACTTCCTACCCAAAAATGATCTGTGTGCGCTCGCTCGCTCTCTCCGAGCATTACACCCTAGGTGAACATCCCTGTGTGGCCCCTCGGACCCTTGCCGGGGATGCCTGGCTCCGGGCTCCGTGGACACCCATCGTCTTTGTAGTGAGGCTTCATCCATCATCAACTGGCCCCGCTCCTGGTAGCGGTTTGATGAGTTGCCCTGGTAATAATTTGAATGATATACTTTTAATTTTTTACATATATATGTGTACATATAAGTAATCATAAATATATATATATGTCTATATGCTGCTTTTCTGCCAGTAATTTTGTAGTAACTTGTAATACACACTTGCTTTACTAATCGTAATTGACTTACTAAGATTAATCTGTAATAAAGAAATTCACGGAAAGAAAGGGCTGTGTCTTTGTGTGCTCTGGGGTCCTACAACCCCACTGCCACCTCCGTCCCACACCCGTGGGCTGGGTGGTGACTGTGACC